GTTCAAACTTATGAGGAACTACTGTTTCTCAAACTCTCTGTACGTGACGCGTGCACCTTTGTCTGAATATATGTGGACTTTCATGTCTTCAAATAAAATGCTTTATATTCTCTCCGTACCAAGGAGGAATAAGAGGAACTGTGCATTCATATAGCAATGTATTTTTTCTTGACTTTATTTAGAACAAAAAGCTTTGAGCGAAATGTGAGTTTTCTCCCAAACGTGTCCCGTCTATCATGTTATAGCTGATCAGAGGTTATTTATTGAGGTCCATATTTATTATTCCAAACATGCCATTCATAAATTCTGTTACACATCAAAGAGGTAGATTCACATTAAACCAGTTGCAGTATTTGTGCTAGTGTGAGTAGATACAGCAAGTAACAATGTGCAGTATATGTTTGAAAAAAAGTTGATGGTTTACTGGATTTCAGAGAAACGTCCTTAAAATGTAACAACTTGCATCATTTCCAGCACATCAAAATCTTTTTTTTCAGTCATATTTAAGGCAATATCAAAAACTGAACATTCAAATATCAATAATCAATATTGTTGAGTGTGACTTCTGCATTTCCACGTGACCTAAAAATTAAGCCCTTAAATTGCACAAAGATACTGATTAATGAGGTCAAATCTATGAGTCACTGTAGAATTTTCATGCTATTAAACTAACATTTTGAAAAACTATTTTGTTGTGCTCAGAGGTGTATGTGAATTGTTTTTTTGTTTTTTTAGATCTATTTGATGGTAAACACATCTTTAGTCCTCTGTTCCTGAAATTAGCATTCTATTGCAGAATTTTCAACCACAGTAAAATGCAAATTGATTAAATTGGGATTTTAAAATAATTTAAAAAACCTACAAATAGTTATTCTACCTATTTGGAATTGCAGAAATGTTTTTAGAAATGACACAGCTCTTAAAGAAACAGTACATGACAGTTAACTAAAGCATTAATGGCTCTTGGTTTTTAGTAGCCCAAAGTCATTGGCAGAAGCACAGAGGTCATGTTAGTTTTGCTGATTGAGCTATTTTCTTAGTATAATTTTGTATATATGATATGCTTCAGTGTATGTATAGCATGTGCATTGTAACATTTAGTGTCTTTTTAGTTGAGGGTGAGAAGGATGTTGGTATTTATAGTTGAGCTCTCTAAAGCCTTGTACTACAAAACACATTTTTACTAACTGCTGAAAAAGTTCTGTAAATACGATGTGAATTCAGTGCCTGTGCAATTAGAGAAATACTTGAATACTCGGTTGTGGAGATGACAGAGTATCAGCAGAATAAATGTGGTTTATTATACCAAGGCTACATCGCAGTTTCATCCATTTTTTAAAAAAAAAATTTATATGTACAGTTAGTATTTTCACATTTTCAATGAAATACAGTATGTTTTGCTGTCATATTTTGTCTCTTAATAGGACTTTTTGTTTCTGTTTTTCCCCTTGGTTATGGTGCAATAAACAAAGATTAAGTAAATTGTCTTATAAATAATGTAATCTATTAACTATGCATAAAAACCTGTCTGTTTACTTAATTAACAGATATGGATGTCATGCCATATTTTAATACGACTGAGTTTATATTTCATGTGAATTTAACATGTTAAAGTTAATGTGAATAAAAACATTGCAAGTTAGGCTACTAATCATAACACTTTCATTGTACAGAGCAAAGAACATTTTCACTGACAGTCTAGATCAAGCACTCTCAAAAACTCCCATTGAAATCACTGAAGCTGTTTACACTATGAAATTAATATCTTACAGATTCGTACACACATTTGCACTTATTTTCTGACGAGAGAATTAGCCAGAAAGAGGTATTCAGTCAGCGAGCATGTGAAGAAAACACCAGCATTTTAGCGATGACTCATCTGAACACCTCTGATTGGTCAATGCATTCATAA